CCCACTCACACCAGCACATCTGGGCACCCATCATATGGCTACAACTCAAACTTTCTGAAGTAATGATCTTTGATCTGACCTGACACTCAAGAAAAGTGCTGGGCAATCGCATTAGACTAGCTGTGAAACACTAAGTAGAGGTCGTAACTGAAGGGAGAAAATTGTCACAGATCTTGAGCTGGAAGGAAATTTAGAAGTCACACAGTCCAACCCTTCATTTCTCTTGTTTCTTTTTGTTGCTGTTTTTGCTATTGTTAAAAATGAATCTTTATGTTTTAAGAATATTACTTTCAAGCAACACAGTTTTGAACTCTTCTTTCTAATCCATCTTCTGTTTTATGGCTGAGTTTATCCCATTTGCAATCAGGGTTATAATCTTTTAAAATTAATTTTATTTCCAGTTCCAGATTATACCCCTCTCACCATCTGCTCCCCTGCCCATTGAGAAGGCAAGAAATACAAAACTCATTACAAATATAGAGTCATGCAAAACAAATTTTAACATTAGCCAAAGAAAGAGAAAGAGAGAAAAAAGTAAGCATCAGTCTGTGTTCTAAGTCCCTCAGCCCTCTCTCTGCAGGTGCATCAGTTCGTGTAAGTCTTCCCAGGTCTTTCTGAAACCATCTTCTACATCATTTATTTTATTTATTTACTTTCATTTATTAAATTTAATATTTTATTTTTCCCAATTACATGTAAAATAATTGTAAACATTCATTTAAAATTTTTTTTGAGCTCCAAATTCTCTCCCTCCTTCTCTTTCCCCTCTCATTGAGAAGGCAATTTGATAGAGGTTTCACACTCTGCATCACTTCTTACAGAACAATATTATTTCACCACCTTTAAATGCTATGACTTGTTCATCCATTCCCCAACTGGTGAGCAGCTTCTCATTTTCCAATTCTTGGTCAACATAAAAGGAGCTGTTATAATATTTTTATGCATTTAAGTGCTTTTTCTTTTTCTTTGATCTCTTTGGGATTAGGGTTAGGGTTGTGGTATTGTTGAGTCTGTCCTTTGGTTCTCATGTATCTTGGCAATTTTGCTTCATAATTTCTTGAGATGGGATGTGTAGGTTTTCCTTTTTTTATTTATGTCTTTCAGGTAGTCCAATGATTCTTAAACTATCTCTCCTTGATCAATTTTCTGTCAATTTTTTCTATCAAATATTTTACATTTTCTTCCCTATATTTCAGTCTTTTGACTTTGTTTTATTGTTTCTTGAGGTCTCATGGAATCCATTAGCTTCCACTTGGTAAGGACAATTTTATTTTCTTCCATATTTTTTGTACTGATTTGACCAAGCTGTTAATTCTCCTTTCATAATGTTCTTACATTGTTCTCGTTTCTTTCCCCCCAGTGTTTTTCTCCTTTTAATCTCTTTAATCTTCTAGGAATTCTTTTTGGGCTTCTGTTAATCTATTTTCTTGGAGGCTTTGCTTTTTGATATTTCAAGTCATTATGTTCTTCTGAATTTGTGTTTTGAATTTCCCTGCCTCCACACAAGTTTTTATGGTTGGGGTTTTTTTGTTTGCTCACTTTTCTGGCCTATTTCTTGACTTTGAACTTCATGTTAGAGCTGGTCTCTGATTGCCTCTGGGGAATATGTGGCCTGAGCTTTTGTCTTTTTGTCCTTCTGCTTTTATTGCTCATTCTGGGGCTTTGTAAATTTTTGGTGCTTCCAAAGTAGTGTTATTCAAGAAGAGACCTGTTCACTGCCCTCCTGGTTTGGGTCTGTTGACTTATGTGTGGTTGAGTTTCTCTAGACTGCTGCTGGACTTAGGCACAACCTACTGAGAGGTTCAGAAATCTCAGAACAACTGATCTACCAATTGTCTCTGGGTTTTGGTTCCCTGATCTGGTTTATTCCACTGTATGAGGGATTAAAAGTGAGAACTGAGTTTTCATTTCATTCCTGGACTCAAAGCCACGTAGCTATAGTTCTGTAACATTTTCCTTGCTCCTTACAATAAGTAGGGCCTTTGTGCCATCATGACTGAGTCTACTCCTCTTGGCCATGGAACTATAACCTAGAACTAGGTAATAGGCAATAGAGCTACTGAATGGCATAACTTCCTATGTCCAGTGCTAGAGCGGGAGTCCCCTGGAATGTTTTTATGCCCAGGGGTTTAGTCCCCTTACGGTCCTTGGGTCCTGGATTGCTACCCATTGCTGCTGCCACCACAGCCAAGTGCTGCTTCCACCTGCTGCCAGGATGTGCTCCTGGTCAACCTCTACTACATTATCTTCAGAATTCTGTCTATCTTCCTAAGCTGCCCTGGCCTGGAAAAGTAACTCACTGTGACTTTTTCTTAGCTTTTCCCATCAGAATTTGGTATGGAATATTTTCTAGGTTGTTGTGGAAGGGATGTATTAGGAGAGCTAGGAAAAAAGACTTTTATTCCACCTTCTTGACTCCCACATCACCATCCCCTGACTCACTTTTTAAAATGGAGAAATTAGCCAAGAGAGTGTCAATGATATCTTCAAGGGCACACAGGTAGTGAATGTTAAAACCAGGATTTGAATTCATGTCCAAATTCTGTGCTGTTTCCACTTCACCAACCTGCCTTTTGATGAGTGCGAAAGGACTCATAGACAAAATGAAAAAAAAAAAAGCATTTTGGTTCTGATATCATGTTTTAATTCTTGTCATTACCCTCTGTTCCTTTACTTTGTAGTTAGAGGTATCTCCTGACACTTTAGGGAAATTAACTTGGTTTAGGGGTCATTTTTTCACTTACTTATCATCGTATCATTGATTTAGAGCTAGAAGCTACTTTAGAGATCATCTCTTCTGATGCTCTCATTTGACAAAGTCAGAGAGAGTCAAAATAATTTTCCCAAGACCATACAATGACCAAGTTGAAAACTGATCATTGAACTTAGATGCTTTGACTCTAGAGGCAATGCTTTTATTCTGCAGTGCCCTGATGCTTTCTTCTCCCTCTGCATTCTATCTAATACCCTCTTCCTCCAAGAAGCCTTCCCTAATTTTGGAAGAAGAAAGTTGTGAGTTAATATAGTCCTTGGTAAAATTTTAGTTTCTTGAGTGACAATGATACAATTGTTTTTCCTTTCAATAATACACTTCCATCTTTTTAAGGCTGAAAACTCAATGGTATCCTTTGTTGTTAACAACAAAGTAACATCAGAAAATGCACTTTATGGTTGTGGGAGGAGGGTTTTGGGGGTTCTACTGAAAGATATTTGCTATGGAGAGAAGTACTAATTAAAAAATCAATAGGAAATGTGGAGACAAATTTTCAGACTTTTCCTTCCATAAATTAGTGTATTGATAGAAAGTTAAATGTAGACATATTATGGGGGCCTCTATAACTACTTTACAGCAATTTGATTAGTCTCTGTTAATTTACTCCTTTAGGTTGAAATCAGTCAAGTATATATTAAGTGCCTACTATATGCAAGGCAACTAGGTGGTGCAGTGGATAGAGTGCTGAGCCTGGAGTTAGGAAGACTCATTTTCATGAGTTCAAATATGGCCTCAGACACTTACTAGCTGTGTGTCCCTGGGCGAGTCACTTAACCCTGTTTGCCTTAGTTTCCTCATCTGTAAAATGATCTGGAGAAGGAAATGGCAAGAAAATGTCAAGAAAACCCCAAATGAAGTCACAAAGAGTCAAACATAACTGGAAAATGACTAAACAACAACCATATGCAAGGTGCTAGAAATTTAAAGACCAAAAAGAAAAGTAGTGTCTACCCTCAAGAAGCTGATATTCCATCAGGAGAGACAACATAGGTTAATAAAAATACATAAAAAAGAAAAATAAGGTAATTTGATGGGTGGAGGTACTAGCAGGGAATCAGGAAAGGTTTCGACGGTGACCATATTTGAGCTGAATCCTGAAAGAAAATAGAAATTTTAAGAAGTGGACATGAAAAGAGGGTGCATTCCAAACAATGGGGACAGCTAGTACAAAGGCATGGAGATAGAGAATTCAGATGACAGAGAGAGAAGAGACTGAACTTAGGGTGGTGCCTGTTTAAACTGAAAGGAGACATGAATGAGAGACATCGTAGAGATAGAAAGGATAAGATTTGCTAACTGATTGGATGTGTGGAGTGTGTGAAGAGAACAGAATGACTGAGCATTTTCCAAGCTGGGCAAACGGAAGGATGGTGGTGCTCCTGTAGGAGAAGCCAGGGAACTCTGGAGCCCTGGGGTTGTGTGGGGAAGCTCTAGCATGAACAGCCAGCTCCCCCAATTGAATATAATCATGAGCAGTTGCAGCCATGTATAGCTAACTGACTCATTTAGGAAGTGATCTTGCACAAAATTTGGTGCCATACTGAAATCCTGGTGCATTAATCCCATGTCCACTTCCACCTTCTTCTCTGATTCATCTCTGCCTAATAAACTGGAATCACTTACCTTTGGGAGTTTCATGTTCTCTTGAAAATCTTACCTATTGTGCTGTCTATGTCTTCATAATGGGTTTTATCTCCAGATTTTAAAAAAAAGCCCATTTTTATTGCATTATGAGCAAGTGTTTACTTGAAATGAGGGATCACTATGGGGAAAGACAAAGGAGAACTTTGAGCCTATATTGAAAAGCATTCTCTACCTCCTGTCTCTCTGTGTGTGTGTCATTCTCTGTCTCTGACTCTCTCTCTCTTTCTGTCTCTGTCTCTCTGTGTGTGTCTCTCTCTCCCTCTCCCTCTCTCCCTTGTCTCCTCTCTCTCATCTTTCCTTTCTCCTCTCTCTTTTCTCTCCTTTCTTTCTCACTTATCTCTCATTTCTCCTCTCTCTTTCTCTCTCTGTCTCTGTCTCTATCTCTCTTTGTCTCTCTCTGTCTCTGTCTCTGTCCTTCTCTCTCACACACGAACATCTCTCTCAACACAGAGAGAGGCTTCATGCAGAAGTGTATGTTTTGAAATCCCCTTCTTTGATGGATTGGGTTTTTATGTTGACACGGAGTATGACCTGAATAATGTGTCACAATAACACATGTTCTGTCCTCTGTTTCTTTCATCAGCAGTTAAGAAGAAAGCTAAGTTTATCACCCCAGTGCCAGGCGGTGTGGGGCCTATGACTGTGGCCATGCTTCTGAGGAATACCCTTCTGGCAGCCAAGAAGATCATTTACTAGACAGCTTCTGGTACAGGCACTGAAATAAGACTGATGTCACGTGGCTTCTCTGTCAGTCAAGAGTCAAAACCCCTATATTTTACTACAAAGTTATTTATTTCTACGTTATATTTATTTTTTGTGTCTGGAATGGTTCTGAATTGGGCAGCTCACAAGATTTTATGCATTCTCTGCTAATGGGTTATTCTTTTAACTTCAGTTTAATTGAAAAGAAAGCAGTGATGGCTCTTGCCTTATGGATAACACTGCTTCATTAAAAAAAATTAAGCCACAGAATGCTGAAATAATAAAGGACTTACAGTCAGGTGACAGGTTTCTGAGAATATTCACAGCCATGTCCTTAAAGGAGTCTTGGATGATTTCACCGCGTGCATGGGAGACACCTAGTCCATGGACAGCCTTTAAGGGAGAATTTTGCTGTGCTGAATCAAATGCTTTCTTTTATAGCCAACAGCCAACACAATAGGATCTTGTTTTCTGTCTCTTGTGTAACTATCGAGATGTGATTCTCCTATGGAATATCATTTATGAAAGCCTGACTGTTCCCTTCTCATGCCTACATCAGAGATGGTATCAAAATGTGTGTAGCTAATTAAAGATTTTGTAGAAATGGTAAAAGGGAATATGAGTCAGTTATTATTGATATTTTCTTGATCACTCTTTTGGGAAGAGGGACAATGATGGCTATCATTTCCCATTTAGCATTTGATATCATTTTGCATTTCAAATATTGTGAGAATTGATCCCTCTACACCTTCAAAATTGTAACTGCAGTAGCTTAGGCTTTCTCTGTCTGTTATACCCTGTGTCTTCCCCCCTCCCCTCCACTTGTCCAAACATGGAGTAGGTTGCCTCAATGGGTAACTCACTCCTCACTGGAGGTCTTTAAATGAAAGAATGATGATGCTTATAGCATCAACCATGATTTTAGAGGTCATCTAGTTCAACTTGCTTTTCTAGATGAGGAAGCCAAGGTGCCAAGAGGAAGAGGGATTAAAAGGAAGAAAACCAAGTACCCACTGTGTGCCAGGCACTGTGCCAAATGCATTAGAAATATTATTACATTTGATCCTCCCAACAACCCTGGGAGGTAGATGCTATTATTTAACCCCATTTTACAGTTAGGGAAGCTAAGGCAGACAAAGTTACTTGACCAGGGTCACATGCCTAGGAAGTTTCTGAGGCTGGATTTGAACTGAGATTTTCCTAACTCCAAAATTATGCATTCTTGCTGCCACTCCATGCAACATATATAGAAAGGATTTTGTTTTGATATGGGTCAGACCCTTCCTGAGGTTCCTTTCAAATAAGAGATTTTGTGATTCCACAGGGGGGTCACTCACCAATCCTTGGGTCATTCTGGTTGTATTTATACCTGTTTTCTCAAATCCATATTTCTGGTCACTGCTCTTATAGTGACATTTTACTTAGAACAAGTCCATCGTGAGTTTTGCCCTGGCTGGAGATATACAGAAGCTAGAAGAGTATAGTCCTGTAGGAACCTCTCTTCTCCTTCTGCATGGGCAAGACTGAGTCTCACATCTCTATTAACTGATTTAATCTGGGCTTGAAAGGATGGATAGGATTTGGATAATCTCAGAGGAAGAGCAATGTGTATGTGGGGGGGGGGAGGCAAGAATGAACATGAAACATTTGTAGGGCAGTGAGAAAACCAGCCTGACTGACTGGATTGGAGAATGTATGGGCATTATTGGGAAGTAATATTGGATGGGTAGGGTGGGGTTGGAATACAGAGAGCCCTGGAAGCCAGACAGTTTTAGCTTTAATCCACTGACAACCCAAGGAGCCACTTACTCTATGTCTGGAGCAGAATAATGGTATGACTAAGATGTTCCAGGAAAACTAAGAAGGAAGCATTTTACAAGATGGATTAGAGCAAATGAAAGTAGAGGGAGGGAGGCCAGATAGGAGGCTGCCAAAATCTAGACTTGAGGTGAAGACCTGGGCTACAGTAGTGCTTCTATAAATAGAATGGATAATGCATGAAAGAGAAACCTCGTCGTCATCTTACAGCTCCTCGTATGTGCCAGACATCGGCACTAATTGCTTTAAAAGTATTACTTCATTTGATCCTCTCAACAACCCTGGGAGGTCAATGCTATTATTATCCCCATTTTACCAATAAGGTAACTGAGGCAAACTGAGGCTTACCCAAGGTCATGCAGCTAATAAGTGTCTAGGGCCTTGAATTCAAGTTTTCCTGATTCTAGGCCCCGCTCTTTCTCTCTACTGCACCAACTAGCTGCCCCTAACATTAAAAAGAATGAATTAATACTTCCTTGAGGAAGAAATTTCACCACTCAGGGACTGTTTCCACATTGGAAAAAAAAATGGGGAATTAGGTTATTTTATCCCTAAAATCTCTTCTATCACTAAAATTCTATAATAAGTACAGTTTGTTAACATATTGTTTGAGGGGATGACAAATATCAGTCCTGTCTACAGACACAGGATACTGGAAAATGGAGGGGGAGCTACATGGTCCAATGGGTAGAGTGCCAGGCCTGGAGTCAGAAAGAGTCATCTTCCTGAGTTCAAATCTGTTCTTAGCCACTTACTAGCTATGTGACCCTGGGCAAGTCACTTCACCCTGTTTGCCTCAGTTTCCTCATTTGTAAAATGACCTAGAGAAGGAAATGGCGAACCACTCCAGTATCTTTGCCAAGAAAACCCCAAATGGGGTCATGAAGAGCTGGACATGACTGAAATGGCTGAACGACAACAACTGGGAAGTGGATGAGAGGTCAAGTGTAGAGATGGTAGGTCTAAGACTAGTAAGTGGATGTCCTTGTTCTGTGAATGTTTTCTATCCCCAGGGTTATTGCTTACATGTACGAGGGTGGATGACTGTGCTGAAGGTGTTAGTGCAGCAAAAGCTAAGGACTGACTTGAGTAATTCTTAGGTTAAGTGTTTGATGAAGAAAGAAAGACGAAGGGTAAAGAAGAAGGGAATATAGTTAAGGAGTGATTAGAAGAATTAAGAGGAGAATGAGTATAATGTGATAGCACAGAAACCAAGGGAAGAATTTCCAGATCTAAGGGATAATTAGCTAGAGCTTTAACTAGGGTGGGGTACTGATGTTTAGAAGAGCGTGTTTTCTTTCTCAGGGGTCCACTGGTCTGTCAATCCGGCACCTTGTAGTGCTCCATTATATGATTCCCACATCTACAGTATAAACAGCCTTGTTTCTTCAGTCAGCCCTAAATTGTCATCCACAAGTATCCCACCACCATCGTGTCACTCTCCCAAGGTCTACCGGTCACTGGGACAGCATCCCAAAATCAAGGACAGTTAGGTGGCGCCATGGATGGAGCACTAGGCCTGGAGTCTGGAAGACATGAGTTCATCATTCAGTGTCAGACACTCACTAACTGTGTCACCCTGGGCGAGTCACCTAACTGCTATCTGCCTCAGATTTCCCAACTGCAAAATGGGGATAATAACAATGTCTCCCTCTCAGGGTTGTTATGAGGATCAAATGAGATAGTATTGGTAGAGCACTTAGCACGGTACCTGGCCCATAGTAGGCACTATAGAAATACTTCCTCTTTGCCCCAGCCTCTCCTTCATGGGAGATATCCTTCCCCTCTGTCACATTTCACATATGCAGCCTCTATTTTTTAAGAGTTGAGGTATCCAAGGGTTATTGGGTTTGGGACCAGAGGCTGGACTCTCTGGGGACCAGGTTACGCCTCCCCTTTGGTGATTTCAGCTTGCCTACACAGACTGCACAAGTCAGGACTCACCACAGATACCCTAAGAAGTGCAATCAAAGTGAACATTGGCCTATGTGGCCCAGGTAGGCATCCCAAGCCCTTCATGCACCCCAGCTGATTGACCTTGGTCAATCCATTATAATCCCCCTTTGGTGGCTTCCTCAAGCAAGTGCCTGGTGGGCCTCCACCTCTGTGCTCCACATCCCTCTCATTCATTTTGCAGCATTTGCTGTGAACACAGACTGACTAGTTACAGCTTGCAGAAAGATCGAGATTGATGTAAGATTGAATATGGCTGGAAAGAGATCATACTGAGCTTTGAGAGAAGAGTTTCATCAGAAAAGTGGGGAGAAGGAAGGGAAGAGGATCATATCGCATAGGGTCAATGAAGGAATGGAGACATTGGTCTTCAGAGTTTGGTAGCAAAAGTAAGAAGGAAATTCACTATTATCTGTGAGAGGCAGCATAGTCAAACAAAAGAATCTCTTTTAAAGAAACTGATTTAAAATTTCTTTTAAAAAATGATTCTCTTAAAGAAACTTTTTAAAAAGTTGATTTATTAAATCAACAAACATTTAGAAGTTGATTTATTAAATCAATAAACATTTATTTAAGAAACAATCCACATATTTGAATAAATAAATTAACAAATCCTTACCCTTTATTGTGCCAGGTACAGTGGGAGGACATGATCCTATCACTGAGGAGATTACAGTCTAGCTGGAGGACAGAGAGAAAAAATAGAGGATAATTAGCTGTATATAAGGAATTCAGAGCCATGAAAGAAAAGAGAAAGGCAGAAAAAAGGGACTTTTATAAAGAGGGGCTGTATTAGCAAGGAAAGGGATGAGCAATTTGGGAAGCAAGAGAAGTCAGTGCAACTGGGGTAAGACAACTGAGGCGTCAAAGTACACCAGACTGCCAAGCACAGATTTAGAAGGCAGCAAAACTGATACCAGGTAGTTCTGCACCCTGTCTGGCTCCTTCCCAGGGGCCATCGTTCTCAGAAAGGACCACCGATGTTCTATGGTCTGCACCACCACAAACACCACCTCTTGTTGATTTCAGGGCACGTATGGCGTTCCTTACTCCAGGCGTTATCATCACAAAGTTTGCCCTGCAATGCCAAAATTGCTACCTATGGCTCTTAGCTACCATAGGAAAATGGTCAGATGCAGGGTCAGAACGGACAGGTTAACTCAATCAGTCCGTCAATACACATTTATGGAATATGCACAATGTACTAAGCACTGTACTGAAAGAGAAAGGCGCTTTGGCCTCAATGACTAATCTAGCTAGGTCTCTTTCTGTTTCATATCTCTTGAACCCTGTTAGGCAGATGATTACAATAAAAACTTACATTTCTGAAGTTTCCAAAGCATTTCCCTCACAATAGCCCTGTGCGATGAATGGTAAAATAGCACAGTATCCATTTTGTAGATGAAGAAACTAAGTACCAGAAACACATGATTTACCTAAAGTCTAACAATTTGAAAGTATCAGAGCTGGAATTTGAACCCAAGCCTCCTAGTCCACATTGTGCGTGAATAGAGGATGGCTTATTAGTCAGTATGAGCCTGGCCCTTGTTTAGTAGGAGCACCTAGGTGGTGCAGTCGATAGAGCAGTGGGTTTGGAATCAGGCAGACTCATCTTCATGAGTTCAAATCCAGCCTCAGACTCTTACTAGCTGTGTGACCCTGTGTAAGTCTCTTAACCCCGTTTGCCTCAATTTTTGATCTGTAAAATGAGCTAGAGAAGGAAATGGTGAACAACTCCAATATCTTTGCCAAGAAAGTCCCAAAGTGAGGTCACAGAGTCAGACATGACTGAACACAAACGACAACCCTGTTCAGTGTCAGGAAGTACTTATGAAGCACCAATCAGGCGCCAGGTATTGTGCCAAGCTCTGAGGATTCAAAGAAAAGCAAACAACAGCTTTTGCCAGCAGGGAGATCACAGTTCAATGTAGGAGACAGCATGTAAAAAAGCTATATACAAAGATGTATGGACAAGAGATAGAGACAGATGGATGGAGACAGACAGAAACAGACAGACAGATAGATAGATAGATACATACATACATACATACATGCATACATACATATATAGAGTTATCTAGATGGATAAATATAGTATGAGTGAGAGGTGATTTCAGATGAACAGCATTAGCAGTTTGGGATGAGGTAGAATTAAGGCCTTTTTGCAGAAGGTAGGATTTGAGCAGATCTTTCAGGGAAGTGAGGAGGCAAAGGTTAGGAGGAAGAGCATTCTAAGCATGAGGGACAGCTAGTAAAAAGGCAGGAGGTCAGGAGATAGAGTATTGTATATGAGGAACAAGAAGAAGGCCAGTATTGCTGAATCACGGAGCATAGGGAGTAAAGTGTAAGAAGACTGGAAAGGTAAGAAGGATCCAGACTGTGACGGGCTTTAATATTTCCCACACTTTTATTTTATTTTTTCTCAATTACATGATAAATGCTGGAGAAGGCGTGGGGAAATTGGGACACACACGCACACATATTTCTGACAAGCAATACAGCTATGGATTTGAATCAAAAAATCAAGCACAGAGGGAAAAGTTAAAACATATTGTCAAAAAATGTTTTTTTAACCACATGCAGCTTGATCTCATATATATATGTATATTCATATGAAAGCATGAGAAAACACTGGGTTAAGGGCTTTGAAACTTGACCGGCAAGCTGGCACACAGCAGAAGATACAAAATGATTATGGTGGAAGAAATTAATATGAGTTTAACGCTTCAAAGTTTATTTAAATGGTAATTAATGACCAAAGTGGCTCTTTGGGATGCCAATGCTGTGGGCACAACTGATAGGGCATTTGTTACCAGACACTATGAATTAAGGTGCTCCAAGAGGTGATTATTCGGGACTAGAATCTAATCTTTGTCATCTGGCTTTCCCTGTGTTGGCCAAGAAGGGAGACTGTTAATTTGGTTGATGCCTTGTTTCCCAATATAGACTGAGTGGCAATTAATGAGCCACAGCTTTCATAGAATAAAAGAAAGAATGGTGAGTACCACCAATGTCTCCAAACTTACTACACACGTGCTCCGTCCTCCACTAGAGGATGAGTTCCATGAAGACAAGAGTTGTCTTCATTTAACCTTCGTATCTTGTCTGACACTTAATCCTGCCCCTTGTATTTTATTGTTCAGTCATTTCAGTTGTGTCTGACTCTGTGTGACCCTATTTGGGATTTTCTTGGCAAAGATACTGGAGTGGTTTTCCATTTCCTTCTCCAGCACATTTTATAGATGTGGGACTGAGACAAGCAGGGTTAAGTGACTTGCCCAGGGTCACACATCTAGGAAGTGTCTGAGGCCAGATTTGAACTCACGAAGATGAGTCTTCCTGACTCTGCCCACTGCTCTATCCACTGCGCCATCTAGCTGCTTGCTCCTTGTATAGTGGATATTTAATAGTATCTATCGAAAATAGTTGAGACTAGGCACCATGTCTTAGGCTTCCTCCGTGCCACCTGGAGCTGCAAAGAGTACATTGGAGAAATTCAGTAAGTTTGACTGGGGCCATTGCCAGTTGTGTTGACTTTTGTCCTGCAACTGGGCTCTGATGACTCTGGGGTAGGTGCTGCTGACTTTGCACAGCTCTGCCTCACTTAAATCTAATTCACTTGCAAGTTAAGACATCACCCTCCTGAAGTCATTGGTCCTCTTTGAGAATGAAGGGACAACAAATACTTATTGAGTTAGTGAGTGAATTAATGGAAGGCTAACTTGTCCTTATGACCTGCTTTTCTTGCCCTAAATCCAAGATAGGACTAATTAAGAAATCTCCTATGGAGTCAGTGGGACTCTCATATCAGAAGACCATGGTTCAAATCCTGTCTGTCAAATCTGATGTATAACTTTTGGTAAGTCACTTTACTTCTCTGGAACTCAGTTTTCTCATCCATAAAATGTACATATTGGACCAAATGGCCTTGGAAGTCTTTTCCAGCTCTAATCGACAAACATATATTCCATATGTTATTTTTTAAGATATCAGTTAAAATGTATTTTTGAAGAAATTGTCTAATGGAAAAACTATATATAAGATGGAGTAAAGAAAAACCCAATCATGGCTATATACCCCGTTTTGCCCTGTTTTACTCTAAATACATCTAACCTGCCTAAAAATAAATAAATGAATAGATAAATAAATAAATGAATATGTCTAATCATTCTCTTTTTCAGTCAGTCTTCTGTGATTAACATAGAAGACTCTTCTCACCAGGACCCTTAGCCACCAGGTACATGAGTTTTTTTAAGAAATCAACAAGCTAGCACTGGTCAGAGACTTAGAAACAAGTCTGCCCACCATAAGGACACCATGTAAGAACAAGAGCTCGGACACTAGCCCGTAGAAAAGCCAAGTGCTCAATACCTTCTGACTGCATCATTCATCCCCTGCTAATCAAGATGGGGCAATTGCGCTAAAAGGGAATTCAGTGTGGCCCCTGAGACTCAGATCCTATGGCTATCTCCCTTCATCCCTGCTGTTTGAAAGAAAGAAAACACACGGATGACACTCTCCATCGTTTTTCAGAACCTTTGTGGATGACAGCCCCAACTGAATGGTACTTAAGAGTCAGCATGTATGTAGTGCCAGGCACCATGCTAAGTGCTTTACAGATATCTCATTTGATCCTCACCACAACCCTCTGGGGTAGGGGCTGTTTTTTTTTTAATTCTATGAATTTATTTTGATTTATCAACAATCACTTCCATATGCTTTTGAGTTGAAAATTTTTCTTCCCCTTCCTCCCCCCCACCCTTCCCAAGATGGCGCACAATTTGATATAGGCTTTACATTTACATACCCATTAAACATATTTTCACATTAGTGAAGTTGTAAGTAAAAATTAAAACCAATAGGAGGAACCATCAGAAACAGGAAACAAAACTCAACAGAAGGTAAAAGGTAAGTGATAGCGATTCGACTTCCATAGTTCTTTCTTTGGATGTGGACAGCATTTTCCATCCCGAGGCCTCTGGAGATGTCTTAGATCCTTGCAATGCTGAGAAAGGTTCAGTTTAACAAGCTTAGTCATTGCATAACATCGCTGTTATTGTGTACAAAGTCTTCTTGGTTCTGCTGACTTCACTCAGCATCCGATTGTATAAGTCTTTCCAGGTTTTTCTGAAGTCAGTCTGTTCATCATTTCTTACAGCACAATAGTATTCCATTACATTCATATACCACAACTTACTCAGCCATTCCCCAATGGATGGGCATCCTCTCCATTTCCAATTCTTTGCCACCACGAAAAGAGCTGCTGTGAATATTTTTGTACATGTGGGTCCTTTTCCCATTTGTTTGATCTCTTTGGGATATAGCCCTAGAAGTGCTATTGCTGAATCAAAGGGTATGCAGATTTTTGTAGCCCTTTGGACATAGTTCCAAATTGTTCTCCAAAATGGTTGGATCATTTCACAACTCCACCAACAATGTATTCGTGTTCTAATTTTCCCACATCTTCTCCAACATTTATCATTTTCCTGTTTTGTCGTGTTGGCCAATCTGATAAGTGTGATGTGGTACCTCAGAGTTGTTTTGATTTGCATTTCTCTAATCAATAATGATTTAGAGCATTTTTTCATATGACTATAGATGGCTTTAATTTCTTCATCTGAGAACTGTCTGTTCATATCCTTTGACCATTTATCAATTGGGGAATGGCTTGTGTTCTTACA